ACAAAGAAGAGATAGGCATTTTTGAAAGTTGTCTCATCATTCATATTCCCTCCCTTCCTTTCTTCCCTCCCTCCTTCCCTTCCTTCGTTCTTTTCTTTATTTTGTTGGAGAATCAACCACAGGGCCTCACACATGCCAACTATGCTCTCTACCCCTGAGTTACACCCCCCGAGACCCTATATCCTTTCATTTCAAAACAGTATTACCTGTAAGACAGTATTCAGTGTTAAGAGCAGTTACATGGCATTTTTGCCTGTAGTAAAGATTCACAGGCCATGATGTCCATGTTAGTTTCTCTGTAGTTGTTGGCATCATTAGCTGTTTTCTGTTTGGAATAATCATCCCATGGCTCCCTCTACTGTTTTCCTCCTACCCACCTTCTAACCTCCCCTTCTCTGTCTTCTTCATTCCTTCTTCAGACCAGACCTGAAATCTAAGTGTTGGTTGAGACTCAGCCATGGGTCCTTTTGTGTGCATCTCACGTGTTTTCTTCCTGGGGCTTCACTGGTGGTATCATCTGTGCTCTGGAGCGTTAACCCTTCTCAGAATCATCAGGGGCTGCTGAGGAGGCTTGCTAAGGATGGCCTCATCCTCCTGTACATGGAGGAGTCTTATCTCCATGTTTTTTATACACTGAGGTTTCACATAAGATTTTATTTCAAAAAGCAAGTCATTTCTGCTGCCTAAGCACACATACACAGCAAGAAGTCAAGATCAAAATCCACTGGCTTAAATTTCTCTCTTGACTGAATGACACAAAATCAATACCTCTGATATCTCACCTCAGAGCTGGTCTTTAACTTTCTTTTGCACATCAGGCTTCAGATTCTATGAGTCTGACAAAAAATTTACTGTCCAACGTGCTCCAACACAAATTCCTATTTCTGTTCATTGCTTTACTGTTCTCTGAAACCTCCAAGTTAAGAGAGAGAAGGGGTGGGGAAGAAGGGAATAAGGGAGGGAGGGAGGGAAGGAGGAAGGATTTTGTCTTTTTTCTTCATTGCTCAAAGTCATCAGTTTCTAAGACCTATTGATTTTTCCCCAGGACATCCATCCCTTTCTATAACTACTTATGTTTTGGGTTGTTCTCTGAAACCCTGAGGAGATCTGTCTGTCTTTGAGCTCTTAGCTCTGCAGTGTACTTTGAAATCCTGAACCAAATTTCAATTTCCTAAAATAATGTGTTCACCATTGTCTTCCTATATCAAGTCCTGAATCATTTCTTCCTTCCCCATTTTAGCTGTCTTCAATAGGAATCAGACGAAGTCCCAAACCTAGCAATAATCTAGCATTTGGTTTAGCCCTCTGTATGTGCCAGGTACTATGCTAAACACTTCCTATGCTTTATCCACTTAGTTTTCCAAGCAACTGTATGTGCTACATATTGTGATTAATCTTTATTTTATAGAAGGGAAACAAGAGATTAAGCTACCGCCCAAAGTCAAAGTGCATATAAATGGCAGGGCCAGGGTTAGTGCTCTGAGCCATCTCCCACCATAGGCCAAGTGTTGAAGCAGTGCGTTTTCTGTATCACCCTCCCACTTTTTTGTTTTCAGTGCTGAGCATAGAACCAGAGGATCATTTATCCTTCCCTTTTAGTAGGGAAAGAACGTGGGCCTGCTGGGCAAGGGGCCACAGATGGCACAAAGGAAAGGCCCTGGCAATGATAGCTATTGCTGAAAAGAAAACTAAGGCTGTCCTCTGGAACTCAGCCCCTAAGTCCACAGCACACACCAGCACTGCTGCTGCCTCCTTCTCCATGGCCACCTTGAGGCATCTCCTGCCGTTTTCTGATTTCTTTCTCAAGATTGTCCTTGATGTTTAATCGTAGATGAATTTCATCCCATCCAAAAGTATTTTAGATGCTGTTCTGAAAATGGACCCAGTCCCTGTCCTCACTTCCTGTTGCCTAGGCCAGCCTATCTCTCACTGAGTCAACCCTTGCCTTGTCATGCTGCTCGATTACTCGTGTCTGAACACACTTTGTGTATAGAAATGAGAAGACATGATGATGATGACATGATGAAGATACTTTATAAACTCATAGTCTGTAAGCACATGGGTTTTTTTGTGCTCATTTCTGTTGCCTGGCATAAAACCAATAAGGAGGTGGGTGGGCTTTCAGGTTGACAGTGAGCGCAAGTGCTAGGCTGCTCCGTGCACATGTTGAGACTGCCATTTAATTGCTATGTGGCCTTGTGCAAGACAGTCAAGGTCTTTGCGCTTTACTTGCCTTATTTATAACATGAGACAATAAACCACTGACATCATAAAACTTGAAGATTAATTGATAGGAAATAAATGACTTAGAAGTTTCTGGTAAATAGCAATACTAAATGAACCCTCAGTAAGCATCTCCTGACTGCACATTGAAAGTGTAATCTATGCCAGGCACTTGCCCTGTTATATACTTGTCATCTACTCCATTCTTAATCTTGCTTTTCAAGAGAGAACACTGAAACCCAGGTTAGGTAAGTTACCTGGATCACATAGTTTGTAAATAGTATAGACTCAGGATTTGAACATGGCCCATGCTTCCTCCACCTCCTTAACCGTCTTTCACAGCGATGCGGTCAAGGTTTTCTGCTTCTGCAGATTGTAGAGCACACCTTTAACTTACTCAGCATCAAAGTGTTATTCAGCTTTCCAAATACATTTGTCCTTCTCCCCATGTTAACCTATTTTTCAAGAACAAAAATCGTAAAACTTAAATAGAAGGCCAGACATGATTGTGTATACCTGTAATCCCAGCCTTCAGAGGTTGAGACAGGAGAAACAAGATTTTAAGGCCAGCCTTGGCTATATAGCAAGACCCCCATCTCAAAAGAAAAGCAATGTGGTGATTCATACCTATAAGCCCAACTATTTGGAAGGTGGAGACAGGAGGATCCTAGTTCAAGGCCAACCAGAGCAAGAAAGTTAGTAAGATTTATCTCAAAACAACAACAACAACAAAAAATGCCACACTTACACTCTAATCCCACCTACACAGGAGGCAGAGGTAGGAGGGTCATAGTCCCAAGTTAGGCCAGCATTATGCAAAAGCAAGAAAAAAAATTAAAGCAAAAACAGTGCATGGTTCAAGTGGAGGGAAAAAAAAAAAGACCTACTAGATCTGCTTATATCGCTCAGGATCGTTGAATGCATAAATGAATAAATACTAGCATTGCTTCTTTTCTGTGTGTTGGGTGGGTAGTTATTGGGGATTGAAGTTGGGGCCTTGCATTTGCTAGGCAAATGCTTTGCCACCTGAGCCATGATCCCAGTCCTTTGGCTTTTTTAGTTTGTTTTTCTGATAGGGTCTTATGCTAACTCTTTTCCCAGGCTGGTCCTGACCATCCTTCTACCTCTGCCTCTTGACTAGCTGGAACCACAGGCCTGCCCCACTACACCCACTTGCTTTTGAGATAGAACATTGCCAGCTTTGCACAAAGTGGCCTTGAACTATGACCCTCCTGTCTTTGCCTCCTGAGTAGCTGGGATTACAAGTAGGCATCACCATACCTGCCCCTATCATTATTTCTTACAAGGATCTTGTGAAGGACCATTAGTGCTATCCTTATCAAATAAAAACAAAAGAAATTAGTGCTAGATAATGGTTATATTTCCTAGATTATGATTTATTAATTGCCTACAGTGTGAGGGTCCTGCAGAACATATAAAAATTGTGGACTTACTTTCTTAGGTCTTGAAAACATGACACGATGAACACATTCTCTTACGAATTCGAGGGCTTTTTTTTTTTATCCTTTTAGCCTGGGAGATAAGAGCACTGTACTGTTGCCAGGCACAGTGCTCGCTTCTGAAATTCCAGATACTTGAGAGATTGACACAGGAGGATCACTGTTAGAGGTCAACCCAGGCCAAGAAAAAAAGTTAGCAAGATGTTATCTCAAAGAACATGCCAAAGTGTGGTGTCTTACTTTTGTTAAACCCAGCTACATGGGAAGTGTAGACTGCAGTCTGAGGCTGGCCTCAAAGAGGGTAGAGAAAAAAAGCCAAGGACTCTATCTAAAACATAACTAAAGCAAAAAGGGCTGGAGGTGTGGCTCAAGTGATAGAGTACCTATCTAGCAAGTGCAAGGTCCTGTGTTCAAACCCCAGTATCACCAAAAAAAATTTAAAAAAAAAGAATACTAGAAGAATATAGTATTCCTGAAGTGCCCCTATATATCTTTGCTTCCTTTTCTCCTCTCACACTTCCTATAATATTTGTTCATTCACTCAGTTCAGAGATCTAACAGTGACAAAAATAGCATAAGGGCCTTGCTTTCATGTATCATGTCATTTAGTGGGAAGAGACAGACATAAACTAGTAAATAAACCATTATGGATCGTGAGAGCAGTGGATATGTATTGGTTTCCCACTTGAGGGGTCTGGGAAGTAGGTGTCTGTGCATGGGATACAGTAACAGCCAACTGGGCTGTGCTTGCAAAAGAGACATGCATGCATCTTTCTAGAAGGCTGTACTCGCACACTCCTTGTGCTTCATTCGCCCCTGGTTTAATTGTCTAATGCTTGGACACAACACATGGCTTTCACTTTGTCATTTAGCCTCCCGAGGTGCTAGGTTCAAAAAGGCATCAACAATAAAACTCTTCCTGTGGTAAAAGTAACATAGCATCAAGCCATTATTTTCCTTCTTTCTGCTTCCCAGGAGGAAACAGGGCCTGGAATCAAAGCAGCAATAGTTTTTCTGTATTTCTGTAAAAGAAGGAGGAAGTCGTAGAGGAAGCCAAAAGGACACCCAGTGATGGCAGTAGCCACTCTCTGTTTGACATCACTGAGCAAGCTGAAAGTTATACAGGAACAGTTCCACAGTACTGCAGGGTTACCTGGTGTCCTGTGCCTTTGTCAGGTACCTAGCCGCACTGTGAAGACACAGGTTGGCTTCAACATGGAACAAGCGAAGTTGGCATGGCACTCTCAGATGGCATTTGTGCTTCTGTTGCCTGTAGTTAGTAGCACTTAACCCCACAATTGTCTGTGCCTTTTTCAGGCTGTCGAAGCTCAAATCCGAAGTTTTGGACAGACACCTTCTCAACTCCTCATCGAGCCTCATCCTCCCAGAGGTTCTGCCATGCAAGCGGTAAGTGCTGCACTCTCTCTCTCTCTCTCTCTGTCTCTGTCTCTTTCGACTGCGACTGATATTCACAACAGTCCTTTCATCATGCTTGAGATTCTCGACCACCCTGGCCTGCTCTTATGCAGTGTGTGTTAGCTGCACACAACCAGCAAACATTATTTCATTCTTTTCTCTCCTGGAACCTTTGAAAAAGAAAACAGCCCCTTGCACTAGTCTTTCCTCATGCTTTGCGTTACAGAAGTAAAAGGCCCATAACTGTCATGTCTCCACACTGTAGGACAAAGGACTCCAGGCCTAGGGATAATAAATTCTCTGGTTTCATCTTACGAATTTCTAGATTAGTTTTGCTATTGTGTTCTTTCTTCTCTTTTTTTAATTGGAGTATATTAATTATACAAAGAGGTTTCATTGTGATATTTTCGTACATGCATGTAATGTGCTTTGATCAAATTCACCCTTCTTTTACCCTTTCTGTGCTCCCCACCTTTAAACAATTTTTAACTGTTCTCATTCTTTTTTCATATGTGAAGTGCTTCCATCGTATTCGCCCCCAGCTGTATTCATTCTTGACATCCCGACACGTATTTTCATTTGGGGAATTTTAAAACTAGCTCTAACATGTAGGGTACTATTACGGAAGGCCAGAGACCTGGAGAGGAGGAGCGATGGTTTGGCACATGAAAACTTAAGAGAGTTAAAAGGGTGATTTCTTTAATTTCTCTTGCTTTTGAGGGTTTCAGGGGTATGTCTTCTACTCTTTACTTCCGGCTTCCCCAGGCACTGCTGGTGTAGGCTGAGATGTCTGGGCTTTTCTTTCCATGTGGTCTTTCATCCTGCAGAAAGTTAGCCCACCCACTCCTATGGTGCCATAAGACAGTGAAGACAGACTTAGCAAGACTTCTTGAGGCCTGTTTTCAAACTCACACATCGTGTATTCAGATTCTATTGCTCAAAGCAAGTCAAAAGCCAGCCCAGAATTAGGATTCAAGCTGGGAAATAATGAGGCCCTTCTACTTTTATAGCTCCTGAAGTTTCAGGAGGAAGTTCTTAAATGAGAAAGAAATATTTGGCACAGAAACAAATTATATGATGAAAATATTTTTTTAAAAATATAGAAATTTTTTTCTTAAACTGTCCTTCATAAAATAGGTTGATCATTACTGCCTTAGATTAAGAAGAGAGAAAACATTGTATTTCCATAAATATTATGAACAATTTAAGATAAATTCAAATTCCATGTTGTGACAAATAATAGGAAGGAAGGAACAGCAGCTAGGTAGACAAGAGACAGAGATATGGCAGATCTCTTTTATCTCCTTTCTCGTCAACCTCACCCTTTTCTCTCTGTTCTTTTCCCTTTTCCCCTCCTTGTCATCCATCCTTTTTTCTTCATTCAAGGTTTTCCCCTTTCTTTCCCCTTTTCTTTGTGAATTGGACACAAAAATAAACTATAGACATTTAAAAATTATTTGTATCACCTTTTCCCTGTGTGTTTTTAAACCAGTGAGATCAGATTTAAATGAACTTATAAAAGGTGACAGTAGCAGACAAAAGACTTCACAAAGAGCAAATATTTAGCAAGGACAATGGAAGGTAATGCCATAAAAACAGTAGGAACGAACGTTTGGGCTTGGGAATGGTTTTAATAATAGCTCATCAGTGAGACTGGGGTTCCTGGATCAGCCTGATGGAACCCCTGCACCGCACACTGCCATCTCCTGGGTCACTGCACAGCATGGTTACTGGGGCAGTGCACCCATTCCCACTGCACAGCCCTCGTGGCAAAAGGTGATGGCTCGTAAGGCATATGACAGTGAGAGGGCTGGGCAGTTGCAGGCTCCTATGAGAATGAGACACCCTCTTTCCCAGTATCTTTATCCTCTGAATTGAGTACTTGAACTCCTTTTCAGTGTTGTATAAATTCTGTTCTTCATCTAACACATGCATGGGTGGGAAAGAAAGGCATGTTAAAAAGAAACCAGAATTGTCAGCAGGCGTACACTTATCGGGGAACACTGAATGAGATTTGGCTAACAGTTTCTACGTGGCTCACCGAAGCACCCAGGATGAAAAGAGTATTTGTTCCTCTTATTCTTGTTTTACCAGTTGCTCTGCCCACCCACAGCTGCTGCCAGTACAAGAACCAGCCCAACAGGGTAGGGGTTCTCTCCTTATTCCTGACTCCTCATACGTGTGCTTAGCCAAGGGCATGATGGAGCTCCCGGAGAGTCCTGCCTGGGAGCTCTCGTTGTAATGGATGTTCAGGAACTGACAAGGGGGGACAGCTGGTTGTAAGACTGCTGTGGACTGTTGTGGATATGGCGCCTGCAGCTTGCTGGGGAAAGTGGCTTGTCTTTGCCATGTGGCAAAGAGCTGGCCCTCCAGGGTCTCTGTGTAAACAAGACATTCTCCCTACGCATTAGAGTTTTTTTTGTGTGTTTTTTTCAGGGCATAAACATTGGACTTACTCACTTCAAGCCTAATTATATTTACAGTATGAGCTGTTAAGCTCAGAAATATGTATGAATTTCCTTTTGGAGAGACTTTTGATTATGTTGTACACTGATTTTCTCAGAGTTTACAAATTGACTATAGTAAATATTATTTACAAACTATGTAATTAAAAAATAAGGCTTAGTACTCTGAACTGATGTTCATTTCCTTTTCCCAGGATTTCTTTGAGATTAACTTATATGACGTTGTTGCTCCTTGTTTCTCATTTTTACCCCTCATTTCACAGAATTCCTTAAAAAACCATATAAGTGGCTCTTTGTATGGGAGAAATTACTTACTGATATTAGGGGTTTTAAAAATCAAATGTCCACATGTTTATTAAGGTCTTTACTAAAATTCAGATGAGTTCCCCCATCAACTATCAACGCATCCTACCACACACATATGAATATAGCAGAAATTAAAGCCACCTCGTGCTGCGTTAAGTGCACGAGCCATAATATACACCAGGTGTAGTAATTAGCAGCACATGAAGGCTGCCTATTTGTCTGGTTTTGCTGCTGTTGCTGTATCCCCCTGTGTTTTCACACCATCAGATAGTTGGATTTAATTGAGGCCACATCAGATGAGGCATTACTGACACCTTTAATTGAATGAGCATCCAGGGAGGATTAACTCATAATATTGATTGGCTTTTAGCCACTTGCTCAGAAGGGTGTCTGGGTAGCTTATTAGTTGCCTTTATTTACACCTTTATGCAAGGAGTGCAAATAGGAATTCTTAGTGCAATATGTTTTTCTAAGTACTCTTAATAACTTTTTTAAAAGGACTGATAATAAAAATGCAAATGTATTTAATTTTTTATTAGCAGTTCTGAATAAATACGTGTTAAATATATGTGCCTGCACGTTTACATATACCTGGTGTCTTGAAATACGGCAGTAGGGAAGCAGCCAGAAGTATTTCATCAAATGTTTCAATTCTGAATGATACTAATCAGCTATTAGAAAAATAGACATTGTAGGAGAGAATTGCTGAAAATGTACAATGCAATTATAGCACAATAGGAGACTACCACAAAATATAAATAAAGCCAGTAAATCAGAGTAGTGTTGCATGTGTCTCGGATTATGACATATGGTGGTAGAATGTTACAAATCTTTAGGAGTTTTCAGGATTTATTTTTGTGGCCGGTTATTAGAACAGACAGTGTTTCGTTTAACATTTTCAATTATTTTCTGCTTCTAAAAGCACAAATCAAAAAAGTCTTGAGCTTTAGTTTCCTTACCAAGAGGGAGGAGGGGGCGTCTAGGTATTTCTCTTTCTCCCTAGCTACTGGAAAGCGGTGGCATTTGCATTACAATAGGCAGTGTTTATGACTTGGTGCACTATATAAATATATTGTTTTTACAAGTCCATTTAATTATGCATTGCTTTGAAACCCCTTTATAATTAAGTTTGTGTATTGCATTCATAAATTGTTTCTCTATCATAATACATGCATGCTGCCTAACTTGTTTATAAATATATTTGTTTTAGTTATCTCTTTATTTAGTTGTCAAAATCTTCATGCTAACTCAGATCACTTTTGATGGACTTTAAAAATTACCTTGACTTGCTTTTATTTCTATTGCCTATTCTTATTCTTTTTTATTTTTATTTTTGTACTAAAACTGAAAGATCATTACATGATAGCAACGGGAATGGTTTAATTTAATCCCCAATACTTGGTTATTTAGAACCTAAATCAAGTCATTCTTTTAGTATTGCATGGCAGTGGGCAAGGAAGAGGAGCTAAAACTTTTATAGATTTTTAAAGTGTTTCTGTTAATGTATTCTACTTTAGTCACCAAAAATTTCTACTAGTGCCATGTAAAAAGCAAATCATGATGGATGTCTGTGAGCCTTCCTGAGTTCCCTGTTCGCCTTGCAGTTGTGTTGACGTGATCATCCTCTTCTCCTGCACCCTCTTGCCCTCCTTTGTCTCCTTCTGGTATACTTGGGTCTTGTCTTGCCCACTCAACAGTGTCTCCTCCTGCAGAGCCCGCTGATGTTCACAGACCAAGCCCAGCAGGATGTTATCATGGTTTTAAAGTTCCCCTCCAACTCCCCAGTCACCCACGTGGCAGCCAACACCCAGCCTGGTTTGGCAACACCTGCTGTGATCACTGTCACTGCTAATAGGCTCTTCGCCGTGAACAAGTGGCATAACCTTCCTGGTGAGTAAAGTACATGTCATGGTACTTGGTGAACACTGCAGAAAGAAACTACAATATCCATTGAGGTATATGTCTCAACACTTAAGCTTTGACTTGCCCAATAGTAGTCCAAATCAAAATGTGGAATAGTTTGACAGGCTTAAAGAAATTCCCCCTCAGTCATATAATACAAATATCAAAATATAAACTGTTCTTCAGCACCTGGTGGTTTGAGTTTGTCCTTGGAAATAAATATTGTTTCTAATAGAATATTCTAATAAATGGTACTCTTGTCTCTACAAATGTTACACATTTATCAGATGTGTAACATCTTTTTCCCCTTTTTTTCACTCATTCACTTGGATTACACTTGATAAACACTTTGGATTATCAGAAACTTTTTTTTTCCTTTTGTAGAACTGTGCCTTACATGTTAGGCACGCACTCTACCATGACCTACATCCCCAGCCCAGAATGTTACCTTTTTGTGCATGGCATGGTAGCATTTATGCTGGACCACTTCAATTACATAGCCCAAATACTGCATAACTGTCAATACCTTTGAGTGCCAAATAGTCACGGTCAACTGAGATAAAAGCCATCCATGTTGGAAGAGGCGTTACTGGAAGAGGTGGTAGTAGGTCCACTGCAACTGGACCTGGGGTAGGGGAACTTCCATCTCATATGGCCAGTCATTTGCAGAGTTTGAGCTCATTTTCTGATTCACATTTCATGACTCCCCTCTATGATTTATTGCATTTCATTAGAGCCAGAATGTTGGGGCCTGGCTCTTTTTGGCCACTAGTTTAAAAAGAAATTTTTAAGAAATAGGAAAATCTTCTAAAGTCCTGGAGATTTTAGGCCTTCCCCACCCCACTCTCGCCTCCCAAGCCATTGTTATAGTTAGGAAGTTTTAAAATATATAACTTTTTTTTTTTGAGACAGGATCTTACTCTGTAGCCCAGAGTGGACTCCAAGTTACTATGCAGCCCAGGCTGGCCTAGACTTGCGCTGGTTCTGCGTCAGCCTTCTAAGTGCTGGGATTACAGGTGTGTGCCACCACTCCTGGCTTAAAAGATAGATTTTAATATCCTGTTAACTTGTCATTAACTCTATAAAGTTAATAAGGCACTACAGATTAGAATGCCTGAAATGGTTGTAAAAGTATAGATAATGCCCGGCACCAGTGACTCATTTCTGTAATCCTAACTACTCAAGAGGCAGAGATCAGGAGGATGGTAGTTCGAAGCCAGCCCATGCAAATAGTTCACAAGACCCTATCTCGAAAAAACCCATTACAAAAAAAGTGCTGGTGGAGTGGTTCAAGGTATAGGCCCTGAGTTCAAACCCCAGCACTGAAAAAAAAAAAAGGATAAATTATTGGGGCTGGCAGTGTGGCTCAAATGGTAGCGTGTCTACCTAGCAAGCTTGGGACCCTGAGTTCAAACCCCAGTTCTAACCCCTACCAAAAGTATAAATTCCTGAATAAGGGCCTCTTCCAAATTAAATGCAAGTGATTTTAGAATGGAACAAAAGATAGTTAAACAAAAACATGATATACTAAGCTCTGCAAAGTATTTATCACAAAGAATCTGTGATTGGGGTCGGAATTGATCAAATATAGCTATTCTCCTGGCCATTGCAAATGAAACAATGGGAAGAAATGCTAACATTTGATTAAAAACAAATTTCAGAGAAAGTAGAGACAGTAAAAACTGAGGCAGGTATTTAGATCTATTATGAGGTCATTTTATTCTTTTTTTTCTTCAAGTGAACTTACCCTGTGTGCACACATTGGACAACTAAAGACTTCAGAAATGTGATTTTTTTGTTTTTCTAATTACTGCTCATTAGAAGAAGGACATGCTGCTTCTAAGTGGTGTGTTCTGTCACATACATTACCTCTAGTATATTTACCTACTCCATGAGCAGTAGCCCTTGGAGTTTTGCAGATGTCCTAGTGTGTGATAACACGACCATCACAAATGGTGCTTGTCCTAGGTGGCTGTTTGTGACAGCCCTGAGAACTTCATTTTAAACTGAGTGACAGCGTGTAGGTAAAGACAAGCCTTTTCAGCTGCCCTCCCCGCATCAGTTTCTGGAAGAGCTAGCTCAGCAGGACCCACAGGACACCTACACCTCCAGCTGATACCCAAGTTCCCAGGCTGCTGCTCCTGAATCATTGGTGCCCAAACACCCAGCATCCCTCTTTTGAGCAAGCCCATGTCCCTGACTACACAGCCTGCTTCTCTCAGTGCCTGGTGGCTAGGGCTTCTGTCCCCATGTGCAGTTTTTTCTGTAAGTATGGACAATAGGGTGTGGGCCCTTAATGCCATTCAGTTTCATCCCACTGCCCCCATCCCAGGCTCACCTCTCTGTGAGGTAAGAACCAGGTTCTGCAAACAACACAGAATTCTGCAGTCTTTGCCTGTCCTAGTGGCCTTTACTATGCATGTGCCTGTGTCATCAGTGGCATTTGTCCCTGCTCTTCACATGCATGCCACCTTCACAGTGTGACACAACTCTTTGCCAGACATGTACAAAGAATGATAACATGGGAATTCACCACAGGAGGTTATCTTTCCAGAACATGAGCTCCAATTCTGAGCTGCCCCTAAAAATATTAAGCAGCCTTTGTGTTAAATCTGTGGCTCACTTCAGGTATGTCTACATGATTCTGATATTTTATCCTGTCTTGTCCTGTCTTTATCTGTCAGTATGCCTTGATTTAACATTAGAAATCCCTAACAGCTTTTCTTCAGGAAGTGTCAAATTCATATTACACCATTTTTTCTTAAATTTTAGGAACAGTGAGCTCCATAACTCATTCATTAGTCACCTAGCTCTTGTCATTTCCTTGAGTAATGTCTGTGTCCTTTGTTAGAAATAAACAGTGGGAATGTACCTCAGAGAGCAAAGTATGTTCAGGGCCCCGTGTTCAGTCCCAATCCCCACCACTGGAAAAAAAAAAAAGAAAAGAAAAAGAAGACAATTTTGTCTTCCACCTCATTCAAAGGACTTTGAAGAACTTTCCCAAAGTAAAATAACAACAGCTAATGTTTATAGAGCATTTTCTAAATTCTAAGTACCATTTTGATCATTTTATGTTTACTAACTCAATCCCCTCCACAACTTGAGGGTGCACATTCCATATTTAGGTTGAATGATATGACATTGGTTTCCATAGGTCAAGGTGGTCAGTTGTCGCCCATTTCCTGTGGTCCAACTTAACCCCTCTAACCTATTTTACACATTAGGAAGTTGAAACACAGAGGCTATATAAGTTGCCCAGGGCCCCACCAGGCAGGTAGTGGCAGAAGAAGGATTGGAGACTTAACTAAACTTACTTTAAGCCTCTTTCACTGACATTTGGGCTTTAGTGTTTCTATGGTCCAGAGAAGAGAAAAGTTCTCAGCATGTTAGTGTTGATTGACACTGGTATTACTGGAAGTAAATGGCCCTGCTGGGCGGACCAGAGACTGTGGTGCATTTCCACTGACCATGCCTGTGAGCATCCTGTGATTTCTTAAGCAGGAGACCCTTTAATTTCTTACGCACACTCATCTATAATTTTTAGTGCCAATATTGTACTTACTCAGGAAAACCTGAGTATTAATCAGTATTAATCAGAATTAATGATATTCTAAACATCTTTCAATAGCTGGCCTTTACTAACTAGGGAAAATATGGCATAAGAAGTTTTAAAATAATCTAATGAACTCATTGCAATGTGTCCCCTTTTAATTTTCAGTCCTTCAAGGTCAGTCAGAAAGATTTCCTTAAATGTGATAGTATTAAGCAGAGCTTTTAATATCAACCAAACAGCATAGTATAAATGCTATGAATCTAAAAGGCAGATACTGAACAGGGTGAATGACAGAGTCATTTGGGGAAAATAATTTGGAAAAGAAAGCGAAGATCATCTGTTCCAAAACCTTTATTTTAGCGTTTATGATTTGCCAGTGGTTGCATAGCTAGCCAGGGGCAATTCCTCTCCACCTAAAGTCCTTCTACCTCTATCAAAGAAATCTCTTTAAAATCTCTTTTCAATTACAAAATAAGTTAAAGCCATTTTGAGAACGACACAAACTATTCTTAGTATGAATTAATTTTTCTAACTCACTTGCTTCTCAGGGTACTTTTAAATTGAAACCATGGCACTATTAAATATTAATAAAACTTTTTTTTAAAACCCTCAATCCAATCTTTAAGAAAACATTTCAGCCAAATGCATTTAACTAAAACATTTATCTGTGGATAGTTTTCTTTATTTTTAGTCAAGCTTTCTATTGATTGATTTTTAAGTGATGGATGAAACATTAAATGTTCCCTGACTTAGAACTTTCTCTTTCTCTATCATAAATTGGCGTTTTTGTGGATCCTTTGTGCTGCAGCATTCAAAACTGCCTTTTTAAGAAGTAACGAAAAAATAGTATTTGCTACAGTCAGCAGATGGCTGTCACGTTTTGTTTTCAGCACGCTTTACCACTTAATTTTGTTTTGTTGCAGCATCAGAGGTTGCCAGTCAAGCATCTGCTATAGCTTATGGCCTAGGACTGGAGCCACTGCTGATGGCACATGTTCAGAACAGCACTAATCTAAAATAAATGTTTAATAAGCTAGCCATAAAAGCACCTGGATTTTTGTTCTTTGAATTTCACAAAACTGCACAAGAGACTGTGAGGTTGGAAACAATTCTACATAAGGTTTGATTTATACATTTTTTATGTCATTTAGTATGTGAAAATAATCCTGCCTTTTTTTTTTTTTTTTTTTTTATCTTTTGTGAATTCCAGCTCATCAAGGTGCTGTACCAGACCAGCCATACCAGCTGCCAGTGGAAATCGATCCTCTCATAGGTCTGTCACTTCCTCCTCTCTCTGCGATTCATTAAGCGCTGTATGGTGGCCCTGAAGTGTAGATTACAGTTGTTTTTCACTTGCTGGTTGCTGGGAATGGAATTTTCCTGATAAACCATTTGCATGCAAATTGGAATGCAATGAGCTGTGGCTATGCTGGTATTTCATCAACTCCCCCTCGTTGGTTTGCCTAATTTGAACAGGCCTAGGACGAGTGTCACCGAAAATTAATATGGATGCTGTAATAATGTGTGATTGAGAATGCGGGTGAAGCACTGTCAGGATAATATTGGATCTTTTCATCACTCAGACTTGTTGATGAGCAGAAGCGAGGCACGTTTTGATGAATTGGTGCACGGGTAATGTGCTGGAGTCCTCAGCTAGGGAAATTTTCATAATAACAGTGGGGTTCTTAGTACTATGTTGTGAGAAATAAAACTGTAGTGCCAGGGTTTCATCATTAAAGGAGATCAATCCTTTCTTCTGGACCCTCTGTTCAGTCTGAGGGGATTAATGTGCACTTGCAGAACAGTTCCGAAGTTGAAATATATTGCCCAGCCAATGGCAGTGTTAAGATATTTGCATTCGTTCTCCTAGGGTCCTACAGCCCAATAAACTGCCATTGGAGGTTAAATTTTTCAGAGGGAACAATAGGGAAGAGATCAGAAAGAGCCATTGGGAGAAGTGAGAGCGTCTGCAGCAGGTGGCTCAGGGTTTGATTGCTGTCATGCTTGCGAGTAGGCTAGCTCAAACCTCACCCTTATGTGTGTGGGTTTCACACCGCATCACCCAGAATGTGAAGCCTTGAGAGGAAGATGCTGCTTAGCAACTTTTAGAATAAAAAGCCCAATTGCCTCTCTATGACATAGGCTGCCAGCATTTGCTTTATAATTTTGCTTTATAATTTTGCCACATTTCACCTGCAGAAATAAATTCATTAGAATGTTACCATTTTTGAAGAAAGCATATGAATGAGCAGATTCATTATTTTAAAATCCCAGACATTCCCTACACATATATTACCTTTTTTGTTTTTAAAACCTTTTTCTCAGTAGAGAACTAACTGGTTAAAAACCAGTTCTTTTATCATTTCCCTGATGACTACTACTCTGGTAGCTAAATCTCATTTTGTTTTGAATAGATGCAATTTGCCAGATGTTAAAAAAAATAATAAATGCTCAGTTGTGTAGTTTTAAAGGTCAGTTAATAATAAAACTCATTTGCTAGCACGACGCTGGTGGCTCATGCCTGTAATCCTAGCTAACATGGAAAGTTGAGATTGGGAGGATCGTGGTTCAAGGCCAACCTCAGCAAATAGTTCACAAGACCCCATCTTCAAAATAACCAGAGGAAAATGGTCTGGAGGTGTGGCTCAAGTGGTAGACAGCCTGCTTTGCAAGTGGCAAAACCCTGAGTTCAAACCCCAGTCCCACCAAAAAACAAAACAAAAAATCCCTCATTTGCTGAGTCTGAATTTAGGATTATCCTCTGCTTTAACACATGGCAATGAGTCTCCTTTAGAATAAGCCTGACTAAATGAGTTCTGCAGCCCTTTAGGCCAAGTGTGGCCAAAGGTTCTCAGTGAAAGTCAGAAAACAAGTATTTCAAACAACAATCTAACCTAGCCACATCATACAGTATATAAGCAAATGAATGTGGCTGCTTTCCAATAAAACTTTATATGCAAAACCAGGCATGGGGCAGGGTGGGCCTTCAGGCCATTGCTCCCCACCCCAATCCCAGGTTACTGATCATCAGGTGCCCTTCCTCATAAAGAAACTTTTTAAAGCCATGTCACTTCTCATTCCTTTTAAAGTTGACACCAAAAACTCTTCATGACAGGATAAATCGTTACAATTTCTGCATAGTTTAGAACATTTTAAATAGTCTAAATCATATTTAGAACCTGTAAATATTAGTGATTCATACTTAAAATTTTCTCTTTTAAAAATGTATATAAAAGCCCTTAATAATTGGAAATTTCACCTTACTCCTCTTTCATCTTGAATTTACATTTTCATTTTCCTTCCCCCATGTAATTTTAACTTTTTTAATTTGATTATTATACTTTTAGCAATAAAAAGTATATATGGAAAGTTTTATAAATTTTAATTGGCATTGAGTAAACTTATGGTTATAATGTTTTTAAATATGGTGCTGGGAATCAACTCAGGACTTGGAGTGAGCTCAGTATACGTTCTGCTACCACTGAGCCATACCCTAGCCCTGCAATAAAATTTAATAAACATTTATTAAACATAAAAAGCAAGAATTTATTAGACTGCATCTTTAATTAGATAAATGCAGTGTTCTCCCCCAATTAACTCATGTATTCATGGATAAACATCATTTGTTGCCAAGTGAGACAAGATTTATCCACAGATCTATCCATATTACAGATGAAAACTCTGAGGACTATCACTCATATAAGAAAATAGATGGGAAAGGAAAGAGTTTTAACACACAAGGGAGGGGTGAGGATAGGTAAGACACCTAAAAAACTAGCTAGCATTTGTTGCCCTTAATGCAGAGAAACTAAAGCAGATACCTTAAAGCAACTGAGGCCAATAGGAAAAGGGGACCAGGAACTAGAGAAAAGGTTAGATCAAAAAGAATTAACCTAGAAGGTAACACCCACGCACAGGAAATTAATGTGAGTCAATGCCCTGTATAGCTATCCTTATCTCAACCAGCAAAAACCCTTGTTCCTTCCTATTATTGCTTATACTCTCTCTACAACAAAATTAGAAATAAGGGCAAAATAGTTTCTGCTGGGTATTGAGGGGGGGAGCGGGAGGGGGTGGAGTGGGTGGTAAGGGAGGGGGTGGGGGCAGGGGGGAGAAATGAACCAAGCCTTGTATGCACATATGAATAATAAAAGAAAAATGAAAAAAAAAAAAAACAATGCCACACAAATCTTTGAACTCTTTGTGATTCTGTGGCATAATGTGTATAGTGATCTATTATTAAGAATTATTCTTAGGCTTGGCAGAGAGGCACAAGTGGTAGAGTGCCTGTCTAGCAAGTGGAAGGCCAAGTTCAAATCCCAGTGCTGCAGAAATAAATAAATAGATAGATAGATACATACATACATAAGTAGATAAGCAGATAAATAAAGGCCAAAGAATTATTTTAGGGCCAGACATGATGGCTCACACCTACAATCCTAGCTATTCACAATGGGGAGATCTGGAGGCTATCATTCCAGCTACTTGGAAGGCATAGATAGGAGGAACATAGTCTGAAGTGAGTTCAAACACCACTACTGCCATAAAGAAAAAAAAATTATGTTGTGGTCTATTAAGTTACCTGTCTTTTTAGCAATGTGTCATTGAAACTTAATTCCAGTGATCTATTAATTGACAGTGTGACTAGATCCTCCTTCCATTTTATTGAAAGCCATCTGACCTACAACATGACACAATACCTAGGCATCCGCTTTTCAGTATCACATCAGTATTTTGAATGGTCTCTGTATTTAACTCCCAAGATTTTTATTCCTTGGGGTAAAGCACCATAGTAAGGTCTCTGCATGGAAGGGAAATGTACTAGTCTTTTATCTGGTGTTAGAAGGGCATATGAAAGGGGAGACAAGAAAGGAAAACTCAGAGGAGAGTTCTCAGGAAAATCAGTTGTTCAGGCAAGAGAATCTATGAAAGCTGAGGAATTAGAAGTTGATTCCTTAAAGCCATCTGTGCCTGTGCACCCTTGGGAAGTCTTTTATCCCAGGGGTATGCATGCCTAAGTTTAAAAACTGCTTATCTAGTTAAGTAGCCCTAACTTTCATTGAATAAAAATACTTTCAGTACTGAATCTCAAGAAGGTCCCTAGTAACCAGGGTACAGTATGAGTATATATGGAAATGTCAACAATAATACCCCATTTAACTATAATATACTAATAAAAATGTGTTAGAAAAGAAAGCTCACTGACTGAAACAAGACACTAGTAAAAAGGCTGATGTGAAATGGATGGATAATTCACAGATACAGAGGTAGATAGATGGATTGCCTAAACAGATGTACCACCCAGCTTCACTGCTGCAGGACACTGCTGTGCCCATCAGCACTGTTCTCATCTGCCAGCAGCTGGCAACTTCCTTTGTATGAAAGGAGAGGAAAAGGTAACCCCCAATCTAGAGTTCTGCTCATTTTACTACTGCTATGACTTTCTAGCCCATTAATCCCTCAAAAGCATGTTATCAAACTTACCTCCTGATCTTAAATGGCTAAGTTGTGTCAACAGACATGAGCAGACATCTGCAGGATTGCTTTGCATACACATGTGTGCTGTGCTGTGTGTTCCATGAGGACAAGGTTCTCAGTGCTCTTGCCACCCTGGCAGTTCCCAAAACAGTACTGGAGAGTATTTTGAAACTTTTTTTTTTTCTGTTTTGCTTTCTGAGCCTTCTATTAAACTCCTTACACAATATAGGTACCTATTTTAATTTTTACATTAATTCACATTTTTTCAAAAAATTGAAATGTATGAGAAAAGAGCTTAATAATTGGATACAGAAATTTGTTTTCTCTGGTTTTTTTTAAAATTCATTTATTCATATGTGCATACATTGTTTGGGCCATTTCTCCTCCCTGCCCCCCACCCCCCTCGCTTCCAGGCAGAACCTGTTCTGCCCTCTTCTCCAGTTTTGTTGAAGAGAAGACATAAGCAATAATAAGAAAGACATAGCATTTTTGCTAGTTGAAATAAGGATAGCTATACAGAGAGATTCCTAGCATTGCTTTCGTGCACATGTGTATTACAACCCAAATTGATTCATCTCTACCTGACGTCTTCACTATTTCCTGGACACTTTCCCATAGTGATCTCTGTCATTGTAAGATTACTATATTAGATCCTCTGCAGTGGGGACATCAAACACTTTCAAGTTTTGGGTTTCCTGCCTTTCCCTATTCCTCCTGTATGTGTCCTTTCCTTAGCGTGTGACCCATGTCTAATAGTATTACAGTATTTTTTTAGATCTAAAGTCCACATATGAGGGAGAACATAAAATTTTTGGCTGTTTGAGCCTGGCTGACTTTGCTTACAATAATGTTCTCCAGTTCCATCCATTTACTTGCAAATGATAAGATTTCATTCTTCTTCATGACTGAGTAAAATTCCATTGTGTATAAGTACCACATTTTCTTAATTCATTCATCACTAGTGGGGCATCTTGGCTATTTCCATAACTTGGCTATTGTGAAAAGCACTGCAGTAAACATGGGTGTGCAGGTGTCTATTGTTTTCTCTGTTTTGATTTCTGGTACAGTCAGGTTTCACTTGCAGTTATGAATGGAAAGTTGATGGTAAAAAAAAAAAACAAACAAAAACCTCCTTGTATCATTAGAAACAAAGCTTTCTGTTTACATGGCCTCCTGATACCAAAAAAGGCATCTCCATGAAAATTCCTTGTCTGACAGTGGTGTACTTCCATGTGCTTGGTGTCACTGTGTGTCTGACTGCATGCCTTGTGACAAACCCTGTCTCAGGTGCTCTGTACCACTTGGAACCCACCGACAGCCTGTCTTATTTCATTGCTTAAATAAGGAGTAAGAAAGTGGCTATGTGCTGCGCTTTGACTTTTTCAATTACCAGAATCTTTAATAAGTAGTCACTTTAGCCTTTCCTTACATGCAAGTGCAGCTGTAAACAGGGGAAATGAGAGTTCCCATCTAGTCAAACTAAAGACCCTTAAAGCCAAAGTGGTACAAGATGCTGGTATATTTCAAATATATGACATTTAAATCCTAATATCTCTTCCTTGTGACAAAATGTTAAGGTAATAGATTGTCACAACATGAATCCATTCTCATGACAATGGACTTAATGAGATTGTCTGAAACACAAACCTAACTGTGATGCGATCTAGAGGCTGTAATCTAGTTTAGTCCTGCCTAAGAGCTAAGCAAGCATGTTCTGTAAATTGTATGCTGTTTTTAAACTGTAGTATGTTATTATTTTTTTCCTTTAAGCAAAAAAAAAAAAATTTACTGGGATATTGAATTTAACCACCTACATTCTTCCAGCAACTGCATATATGTTCCTGTTTGGTTTTTCAAATATTATTATACTTAAAGGTCAAGTATTCTTATTTTAGAATGTGTCTGCTGTCTTCCCTCAGCTCCAACCTCGGCATGACAAACTGTAGGACTTCTTTGCCCATGTGTGTTTGGTAGGGATTTATTTTTCTTTCCCTCTATTCTCACAGCCAGCAATACAGGAGCACACAGGAGGCAGATTACTGACCTTCTGGACCAGAGCATCCACGTCCACTCACAGTGCTTTGTTCTCACCTCAGACAACCGCTACATCCTTGTTTGTGGCTTCTGGGATAAGAGTTTCCGAGTGTATGCCACAGACACAGGTAATTCTTATTTTCTTCAGCAGTGAGCCAAAGTTTATGACTTAGAAGCCTTGAGAGGTTTAAAATGTTTTCTCACTTCTTTCCTCCAAAAGTTAGAGAATTTTGAAATCATAAAATAAGAATAAGAGGATACGGGTTTCCCCTTCCAAGAAGTTAATCTACTCAATAGTCCACTATTAAGTTAGTTTTAGCTTGTTTTTAAAAGGCATGTCCTGATAGTAGGTTTGTCTCTCAAGCACATGCTTACAGAATAAGAGATTCGTCTGAAAGCAAAGCCTTCATAAACATTTGTATATGCATAATCTTAAGGCAAGTGCACAAATAGGTATATTTTCCACTTTCCTTACTGGGAAGACTCATTAAGTACAAAGATACCTTGCCTCCACCCAGTTCTGCATAGAATCTTGCTGAAAACCATACCATCATAAAGAAAAGTAGCTGTCTACTGACTTTATGTGTGACAGGAGCTCTTGTTAAAATATAACTTTGTCTATATATGGATTTGCATGCATCTTCCTACAAGACAAACCAGGCTCAACTCCATATTACAGAATATCCAGTGAATGTTTAAACTTTTTATATATAGGAAATTGGAAAACATTGAGAAATTTAATAGAGTCTCTTTAAAGCATTCAAAGCATTTTATCCTATTAGAGGATTAAAAAAAAGGTACAGTAAATATGTAGTTGAATATTTAAAGTAATTAAAATTGGATGTTAATTCATTATAACTAATCAAAATATACTGTGAAAGTAGGGTTTTGTTTTGAGCCCTGGGGATGTTTTATGGAATTGGTGATCTACTTTTTAAATAATTTTCATCTTTATTCTTTGGGTCCTTGAAAGAGTATGTGATCATTCAAGCATTCTGAGTAATTAGACTTTTCTAGATGCTGAAGTATAGGAAATTATTATTGAGCCTAAAATTCTAGTAACATTCTTAAAGAATTATTAAAACTGCAGTGAGAACCCATGTTTTCCTAAAATAGTTTTCTTATTATAATGAGTTTTCTCTGATTTGATCATCACATTCAAATTTATGCTTTTCACTATTCTGGTAACCACAACCTAAGCATAATCTGACCCCAAGTTGTCCTCTCTTTTTGCACAGACTTTCAGATTAAACTTGTCACATCCTCCCACAGGATTTTCTTAGATATTCTTTTAGATTGCATATTGTCTGTTCACACATTTTAAAAGTTATTTTTAAATTTACACAGTAAAATTTATTCTTTTTGGCTTACAGTTCTATTAGCTTTGTAACCATTTCCCAGTGAAGGTGCAGAACAGCTTCGTGACTCCCCCATGACTAGAAGTCACCTTCTGCTCATGCCTTCAAACCCTGGCAACCACGCATCTCTAGTGTTGCCTTTTCTAGAACATCAGATAAGCAGAATCATAAATCAAAATCAAAGACTGATAAATTGTATCAGTCTTTGATTTTCACAGTTGAGGCTTTTTTCAATTTCTTGACATTTCTTACTGTTTTCCCTTAAAGGTATTGAATATAGTATTAATAATTAAAATAATTTCTGTTACCTAAACTTTTTTAGAATTTACAAAATTCTTTCACACACATGATACTGTTTCATGCTCACAGACAATAATACTTACAAGGACATTCCCATTTTTCAGATGATGAAACTGCTATTTAGAGACTTAAGTACTCTGTTGAAACTTATGTAGCAAATGGTGACAGACTTGGCCTTTCTGACATCCAGTATAGCATTCTGTGGGATTATGGCACGCTGATTCACACAGGTGTCACCAGTCCCTGGTTAATTTAGAAACCACTGACATCTGTAACACTAAGTTCCTAGTAGGCCTGCTGTGTTACAGTACGCTCAATAAACGTTCTCTTCCAGAAACGTGCTATGCTGTTTTTTAAAAATACATTTATCTGTCTGTCTGTGTAAAACATTTTCATAAGGAGTAGCATTATTTTAAACTTTATTTTAGTGGGACTAACTTAGCTTATAAAGTAAAAATATATATGCCTGTCAGAAAAAGGAAGAAGAAAAAAAAGAAATCTCAAATGATAGGCCTACCACTATTCTTAATGTCTTATACACAAACTCAGATGCTGGATTTTTAAAAAAATAATTTTAGTTAGGGTAAATATGGGTTTATGCTTTTATGACAATAGGAAATTTAACTATTTTTTCTTAAGTTTGGGGGAGAAGCAAGGGACAAAATTATATGATCAGTAATATGTAATAGCTAAGCTCTCACAAGTGTTGAATTCAATTATATTTTAGCACACAAACCAAAAAAAAAATTCCTTCTCTTATTAGATTGGCAGGGGGGAGGGGAAATGTGGGTTGTAACAGGAAATTCTTGCAACATAAATCATGTTTTCGGGGCACAACCAGAATAGCAGAGGCAACAATAAAACCTTCCCCCGGCAGTCGGAATTATTTTCAGGCCACATTTTAGATTCAGTGGTGTAGAGTCCTGAGCTGGAATTTTTTTTTTTATTTGTAGCACAAGCTGTCAAATAAAACATTAACTAGAAAATTTGTTCTGTCAAAAAAGGGATATTCTAGTGCTTGTGGTAATATTTGATATTAGTGTGTGGAGAGGTGGACTGGTATTAAAGGAAACGAAAAGTAAAGGTTGAGGAACACTTTATGAGATTATCAGAAAATCATTTACCAAAAGGAGCAGCAGGTGTTTGTATATTGTGATTTATTTAGCAGTGAGCCTTAACCTCATAGCAATAGCAAGGATTGCTGAGGAAGGCTGCCAAAGCATGGAAAAGTAACCCCAAAATAATGTTCTCCAGGGTTGAGCCCAAAGTATAAATTGTAGAGCATAAAGTTAATCCATATTAAAATATAAAACCCTTTGGGTGTAACTATTTATAAGTCTTGCTCTCATTTAGATCTTTCTTGACATGCGTACCTTGTTATTTTCATTGATCCTGTCTTGTTCTGTTCCTGGAATACTTGTCACCATTTGGAATTGTGTATCTGTTCATGCCCTTTGCTCCTGGACATCTTCTGCACTGGACAGTACAGAGAATGCTCTGAGGGCAGTGTCCATGTATGTTCATGCTGTGTGCATGTAAGAAATCCTGGTGTTTGGCGTTTGGTAGGTGCTGAATAAATAATTGTTGACTTCAGAATTTCGATAACTTCTGGGGTTGGAAATTTAAGTTGAACTATAGCCCCTGAGTGTCCATTTTGCTCACTCACTCTGCCTAGAGAGACAAAGCAGTGATAAAATACGGAAAACTAACATGGGAATCTTGGAAAATTCTGCCTCTCTGTGTGATACATCCCACTCTCCTCGGGAAAGTCTTTCCACCATGTCCCATAGGTGTAAGTTTCCCAGTGAACAGCTGCCCTTTGCAAGCCTCCAGGTGCAGGAACTCCTGGATGTCCTTGGCTCCATCTACCTCGGTCTCCTAGTTGATGGTACTTCTTTTCCTCATCCTCTCCCTGCAACATAGTGAGTTTCTGGGTTGCAAATCTGATATAAACTCATTCCGAAATAATCCATTCAGGTCACTCCTGTAGTTTACCAGTTTAGTAACAGCAGAAGTTACTGTCCATTCTCTGTGATCAAAACATGATCCCAACAGGATATAATGAGTTTCTTTCAGTAGTTGAAACATACTGATTTGGGGGCAGGAATGTAGCTCAGTGGTAGATAGAGTGCTTGCCTAGCATGCATGAGGCCCAGAGTTTGATTCCAACACTAAAAAAGAAAAGACCAAAAAAACAAAAAACACTGATTTAACTGGCAGGTCTCTAATTATTAAGAGCACACCCAGCTACCTCATTGTTACCCATGCAGGGCCTGCAATCACTTAGCCACCAATGTTCTTCACTTGGATTGAAGGAAAAATTATTTTTCATATTTAATTTGTTCTGTTGACTTTTTCTTTTTTTTAGAAATATAAAAGTTGAATTCTTCTTAACATATTCTTTATTAATATAACCTAATTCTCTAAGTGAAATGTTTTGGTGTCAATTTAAAAGGCTGAAGAAATTAAAAAGTGAGCATTTAGCAGCTAACACAAGCTACCTTCACTAAAGTCTTTGCTATTCTTTAATCACAGGAGAAAAAAGTGTACTTTATTAATTTTGCAATTTTTTTTTCTTTTCTTTCAGTGGTACTTCAGTTTGAATTCAGGGCTTTATGCTTGTGCCAGCCACTCTAGTACTTGAACCACACCTCCAACCCTAATTTTACAATTTGAGATAGAAATAAATATGATTTTAAAGTTACTAGTAGTTAGTTCTGCAAGACTGCCACTCATGAGGGGAAAGATGTATTTGAGTTTTCACCTAACGTAGATAAAGTATGTCAGTATTGTATTTCTAAATTTGTAGCCTTTACAATAATAAGTCTTGAGTCTATTAGAATCAAGGATTTAAAAAACTTTAATGTAAATACCTTCTTAGTTATATTTATTATTATCTTGAAAAGTTAAACACTTAGATGCGAATGATTAATTGAGACCGTAGCTTTTGAATTATTTATCATGTATTCCAAGTGAAACACAGAAGCTTTTTAGCACATTATGTTTCTTTTTAAATTTCTTTAACATTTGGATTTCTTACTGAAACACTTATTTTTTTAAAGCCACGCTTAGTATTGAAGGTAGACATTCAGTGATACCCTTTGTAGATTCAGTAGACATTTCAAAGGAGACTGTTAAGTAGAAACTGTGAAGTTGGCACAGAAGAGATCTGCAGATATTTAATTCTTTAGACAGGTTCCTGTGAATTACAAGCACAGTCTCTGGTTAAGCAGAGATTCTGCAAAGCAAGGACTTTTCATGTTTTCTGACACCTCTATATGGACCCCTTCCTGTGTTCAAAGCCCTGGATATGTACTAAGTTGACTGGGCTCCTCTCCACTGTACCCGGTCATTGCCATTGAACTGCTGTAATCTTGCATTCACCCCCAAAGGAATTTTCATCATTCAGACAATTAAAACAAAGGAAGATTGACTTGGCTCAAATTGCAATCACAATAAATTAGTTGTTTCACCAAAAGTTAGTCCATTTAATCCTGGTTTGAAAAAGCAGATGCTTTCTCCAAAGTGACTTTAAAAAAGAAGAAGAAATACATTAAGTCCTTACTAATTTGGAGACAGGGCTGTATTAGTGAAATCTGAATTATAAAAGTACTTTTACTTTTTCTTGAGTTACTTGTAACTCAAGAAAGTGTTAAAAAGGTTCCAGTAAGTGTTCTCCTGGGCCGACTTTACCCAGTAAACATGATTCATTTGTAATTTATAGTGGCCATTTATAAGAATATGGTGTCTTGGTCCTCATTTGTTGAAATAGTTTTAACATACGACTTTCAAAATGGTATCACTATTCATTTTTTTTTTTGTTATTATTGTTAATATTCAAAGAAAACTTTGGGTTAAACCAAATCATTATAAAAACTGAATTATCAGAATTTGAGTTAATATGACATCCTTGTCTTACAAGTTATGTGTTCACTAGAAATGTGTTTTATTTTTCAGGAAAATTGATGCAAGTGGTGTTTGGCCATTGGGATGTCGTCACTTGCCTCACTCGCTCTGAGTCATATATTGGGGGAAATTGCTACATTCTCTCAGGGTCACGTGATGCAACCCTTCTGCTATGGTACTGGAATGGAAAGAACAGTGGGATTGGAGACAACCCAGGAAGTAAGTACAACTTATTTTAAATGAACCTTTATAAGTGATGTAGACTAACATTTTCAAGGGAAGTTGCTGTTTCTTTATGGTGAGAATGAAACTGAGTTATCAAGAGTTTTTAATTTCTTTGTTATAAGTTAAGAAAGATCTAGATAGCCCCATTATTAAAACATTTTTTGGTCATTGATAATCAAAATCAACACACAGAATCTCATTTTTCATGTATGGATTATTCTTATGTTCCAAAATGCTGGTTCTTCATTGGAAATGACTGTCACCAAATAAAATGGAGGTGTTTTATTCATGAACAATAAAATATAAAAGAGCAATCACATATTATCTTGTTTATTGAAATCATATTTTAAAAGAGCAAAATAAAAATTACAATTTCATAGAAATCTACCAGTCTTTATAAAATTATGCTTTCATTTACATATTAAAAGATAAAACAGGTCATAAAAGGCCAATATGGAATATTCAAATTGGCTCTTGGTTTTTCAGGTGGGAAATGAAAATGTTCACCAACAGCCTTAAACATCTTTATGAAACTGTGCTGAAGGCAATAAAACAAAAAATGTGTAACCATTTAAAATTGTAATTCACAGAAGGCAAAAAAGGAAGCAGCTACCATTAAAACCAATCACACACAGCTGCAGAAAAGAAATGGCTTTAGAAAAACACATTAAGAAGTAGGAAGAAACAATTAAAGGGATCACCTGAAAAATGAGAATTTAATTAAAATGATTATGACAACAGTGACGTGTTCTTGCAAGAATGGCTTTAGAGTTTTACTGCGTAAGGTAGAGCGTTTTAACTGCTCTTAAATATTTACAGTTTCTAAATTCAAAGCAAGTGTCAGTGCACTTGGGTAAGAAAGGGTTATGTTGTTTCCAGTTACTTTACCTGGATACTGTGGTGCTCACTTCTGGGACTAAGCCCCAAATTATAAAATGGTATGAATATGTTTCAGTCCTTCAGAGTTTGGATTGACTTCTCAAAGCTGTGCAAAAGTGAATATTTGTATAAAAGTGAAACCTTTGTTTAAAAATTTAGTCAAATGCTAGTCAATTTTAAAAGAAATATATGCAAAGCAGTTTTCAAAGCTGTTTCTTCGTATGTACATGTAGACTTTGTTAAGTAAACACAGTTTTTACTTAGCTAACTTCCAATATATATTTCTTACTTTAATCAAAACAGGGACAATGCCCTACATGAATGAATTTGAAAAAAATACTTTAAAGGTTATAATGCTATGGGTGATCCAGTCTGCGAGCAGATCAGATTGCATTGTGTGGTCATGGGAGAGTGTTCACGTGTATTTCACACATTATACACAGATCTCCATTTTTCGTATATTACAATAAAATACTTAAAGATCTAAATTTCAGGAATTTTGTTTTCATATTATTTGGAAGGTTCTGCAGGTTTTTTGCATTATGGGCGCCGACATTGGGGCTCTTCTTCCTTTCTGCCCTCCTAGTTTGAAATTGACTAATTTCAATTTCTTTTTTCCTGTTTCTTTAAATCCAATTACAAGATTCACTTAATTTTCTCAGAAAAACCTAGATTTGACATTGATAATAAATCTACCATTTTGTTATTTATCTCAGAATGCTTAGGAAGAGCTTATTCTTGTTAAAATAATGAAAGTTGTTTCATGCATGTATAACAATCTGAACACTAAACATACAGAAAAACAGCTATTTGAGTCTTTAAGTCAAATGTGATTTGACTTAATCATATTCTATATGTTACACATAGTCATTACTAATGTGTATTGTGAGAAATAGCGTAAAACTTATTAGCTATATTTGCATGCAAGTGCTGTTTCAGTTCAGAAATTTATGTTTTAAAAATTAGAAATTTTCAGTTTTCCCAAAAATAAATATTTTATATCTATCTATACAGATAAAACGATTTGTGTGTGTGTATATATATGTTACATATATGTTTATATATTTAAGTACCTTGCAGATTGCCCTAGAGATGGTTTTACATACATGTCCTTCAAAAAAAATGAATCCAGAAATGACCAAATCCCGTGTCTGTGATAAAAGAAAAACCTAAGTTCAGCTTTGCTGCTGCCCTTTTCTCTTGTCTGGAAAATGCAAGACACAACAGTAACTGGCTTAAGGTGTTATCAGGAGCACAGGATGCTCGGAGCAAATAAATCACCACACAAACACCATCTTGTTGCCATTAGAGGACATATTATAATGTTCTGTTTTTCATAAAGTACTTCGTCAGCACTCTTTCATTGTCTGTAGTACAGTGGACATGAACTCCTAGTAATGCTGGTAATGAAGAGAGGAAAATAAAATCACACTACAGCACATCTAATACAAATTTTAGAAAATGGTAATGTATCTTGACTCAATTAAATTACCTTCCTCAAAGTAAACCTCGTCCTTTCTGGCTTTTTTATAACATCTGATGTCCCAATTTAATTTTGCCTTAGCTTTGAAGGATGAATCTGTGCAAAAGACAAATAGGTGCGTTTTCATATTGTGTGAATTTGCACACATTAGAACACAGGAATGAAAAAGCCCGTCTACTTTTTGAAGGCAAATGACAAACAACGGCAACAGTGTTTTTACTGTGTGTAAACTGTTAAACATGCCGCAAGCTGGTTGGATTTCCTAAGCCTCTGCTTGCTGGTTGTTCCAAGATGCCGCACTGGAATCGGCCTCCTGTTCGGGGCTTTCAGGTTGTCGCATTCCTGATTTGTATCTCTTAGAGGCAACAGGAGTGACTGAAAAAGAGGCCAGGCTTGTCAGTACATCTAACTGCAGCATGGCCTGGAGTGCTTCCACTTTCAGTTTTTGATTTTAGACTTCTTTTCTTTCTTGAAGGGAAAATAAGTAAATGAAAAAGAAAAACTCAGATACTGCTTTTTCTGGATTTTACAGGTCTCATTCAGCTATTTTAGTTTCTTTTTTTTTTATTAAAAAAAATGAGACTAGGTAGTCATTTTACTTGCTAGGGTCATAAGTAAGGGTCACATACCATTTACTCCAAACCTGACATTGGTGCTATATGGAAGTTATAGCTATATAACTTTGTAAAAAAAAAAATCATGTTATCCGATATTAACATGAATATTACTTGGACAAAATCAAGCTATTTCAAAGAGGATAAAACCTAGAAATAGTATAATTTGGGGCTTTGAAAAAGACTCAGCTGTTTGATGAAACCTGCCTACATTGTTTTCCATCTACCAGATAGGTTTCATCCTGCACTCTATTGTCTTGTGATGGTTGGCTGCGGTAGGATGCAGCCTTCCCAGTGAGCAGGAAGCTTAAAAGAGGATTCATTTTCTTGTAGACGTCTTTTATAAAATGAACAGAATATTTCACCAAAAGATGTTTTCTCCCGGACTCATAACGCCTCTCTTTGTGCTTTAGACTAAATTTGTGAACAAAGTGGCTTTGCTAGAGATACTTGTCTTTCCTTTGGAGCAATGCTGTCCAGACTGCCTGTTTCCGAATTTTGGAGAAAATGTGCTGCCCTGGGACATTCAGTTGCTATCAAATACTTCAAACTCTGACCTGATCCTACTTAGATAAACAGGATGAAAATGTACATCATAGCTTTGTTCATTCACTATTTCGTATTCTATTAATAAACCATAATCTCGGATTTTAAAAACAAGACACTTTTGAGGCACTTTTAGGTATGGAGCAATCTTTTCAAAGCCACAGTGATTAGCTTCAGGGGCAAATGGCTGTGACTTGGAGGGTGTTGTGTTGCTTTGTGTGTGTGGCATTTTGGTAAAGTAGTTTTCCATTCTTGCATTCTGGTTTTGATTTGATTGAAAGGTGGCACTTTTTTTTTCTCTTTGCAATCAGACATGCTAATCTATGTCAGCTTTCTCCTTTATGAGAATGGCGTCTATTGAAAAAAAAAACAAGTTTTTTCCATAATAACAAGATTCTGTTCTTTAAGAATATTTCAGCACCGTTAATTAGAAAGAAGGTTTTATTAACCATAAGGCCAGCACTAACAGACCACAGAGCTGTTTTGTAAAGTACTGTATATGTCATAGCAGCCCTGCTTTTTCTCTGTCTAAAACTTCATTCTGTTGCACTCTCATCAATCACTTAAGTCATTACCGTAAATTCTACTGTTGTTAATTTTACTAGACCACCCTAATGAGACATTCCTGCTATAATTAAAAATGAATTCTAACTTTAAGGCATTCTAAATTTTTTTTAATGAATTTAGAATGATCTTGCCATATGACTATAAATACCACTGGTAGATACATAGACTACTCATCAAGTCTGTAAGAAAAGTAGTATCATAATATGTCCAGGTGTGAATTATTTACTGGTGGCCTCTGCACATATGCTTATGCATATGTATATTTCATGCACATATTTAGGAATTATGTTCTTTTCATCATAAAACCTAATATATTTTACTGAAACTACTGATAAATCTTTACTCTTTGTCTTGCCAAAATATAGGTGATTGTAATACAAACAGTATTGCTCTATAAGTAGGTGGCCAAGAGCACCATCTGCTGGATGCATTTGGAGACTTATGTCGGGAAAAGTGGAAATCAGTTCTGTGTAACACAGGTGTACTTTGTTTTACTTGCCTGTTATATATTATTTATGGGTCACAAATGCCAAGATCTGTGCATTTGTGTTGAACCATGTTAGTTTCTAAAAAGATAGTACTTTATTTCTTCTTTTGCCACCCCCACCCCAGCCTGGGTTTGAAACTTTACAATAGCTGTATTTAAAGGAAAAAAGTAAGCACAATGTATGCCTGTAAAAACAAAGCAGCACAATTCGTCATGAAATAAACTCTGATTGGTAGCAAGGCTTCAGTAAGCTACAGATAGGGAAATTGTTTCCATGGCATTGTAAATTTAGGTTCCTTATATTCACTAGATTTTGAATATGAAAGCAATGCTTGAAACAAATGGCCTTTTCACATCTGGACTATGACTCCTGACTGATTCCTTGTCAAGGACTTCTTGCTTGTATCTCACCAGAGCT